AACTTTAACTTGATGACACGGGGGAATTGACGGTGCCCTCGACTGTATCTTTTTGCTTCTCCAAAGTAGGTTTTGGTACCGGGAACTGGTCGAGTTCTATTTCTGTAGAAGGACGCATTTCTTGGATTGGTTTCTCAGGATTCTGTTTGGGCACCTCGACCTCCGTGGGAATTATCTTCTGGGGAGTAACTTCTTTCTCGAGCAAGCTTTCTTTCTTGAGAGGATGGTCATGCTTACTCTTCTTTTTTGACTCCACGTCTGACGCTTTGGCTGTTTTCTTCACTTTCCTTTTTTCTTCGCAACTCTGGTGGATGAGCCTTCGTCATCTAAGTTTTTCACATAAAAAATCTTGGCATCACCAAACAATCCTATGATATTTCTACTCGACGATAGAGCCTAAAACAGAGAAAAGTAAAAAGGAGTTTCTACCTTCCTTCTCCTCGACAGGAACTGGAGGAATAAAAAGCTAAACGTCGAGCCACATGATAAATTTGTCATATTTTTCCATGGCATTGATATCTGTCCTGTACTTCTCTATCATGGCCTTGTCAGTCATGGTCTAGTCATCAATTATAACGTCTGGCCACTTTGTTTCTCGATGATTTCAAGCTACACATAATTATCTAGGGCTTTCATGTACAAATAATCGGGTTTCCAAGTTGGGGCACCATTGAAGAGCTTCACTATCTGAATCGCTTTCGACTTTGGGTTTTTCTTCACATTATACCAGTCCCTAAACTTTGTCGAGGGAATGCAGACCTTGAAAAAGTATCTCCATACAAGTAATCGAGGTCTTATGTTTACCAGCTCACACAATTTTACAAACCCGAGGACAACAGTTACTAAATTTGGCGTAAATCGAGCAATGTGTATTTTATAATGTTGAACAATAGCTCCAAACAGAGGAAAAAGGGGGAATCAAAGCCCTAAGAACATACATCAATCATAAACATTGATTTTTCCTTCTAGTGGAGTATTAGCCTGTTCATTTCCTACAGGGGCTTGATATTTTAGATCTACGGGGATATTGTATTTCTCAGCCACAAATCTAGCTTTCTAGGCATAATCAATAGAGGATCCAAAATCAGAAACAGAGGCCGATTCGGCCATATCTACCAGACTATATGCTAAAAACAACGAGATTCAACAACGAAAACTGCAGAAAAGTATAGCAAAGATCTCAGGAACTCACTTTGATCATTTTCTGAGGTTGACCTTTTGAGTTGCAGCCTCCCAGGATAACACTAGTCCTTGGCAACGGTAGAAATTGGATTTTCCGGTGACGGATGCATATGAGTGTTTCGGCCAGTGATGATGCTAGAATAGTGCAAAGAGCTTTGAGGATTTTTTGCCTAGTTGTTTTGGAGGGAGTTGGCAAACGAAAAGCATTTGAGAATCTTTCCTTGATATAAACAATCCTACTCTCACACGACTTGACAGTTTGGGCGGGGTTTAAGCAATAGCAATAATGATAGAGCCGTCGTTTCGGAAACGTGCACATTACTAGGGCACGATCTCAGTTTGGGCAGGATTCTGAAACGGGTCATCTCCTTGGTTTGGTTCTCCATCCGCATGTAATTCCGTCAAGTCTAGTTCGTGAAGATTGGGCCAAGGCTTGTCCATTCAACATGGGCTGAGTCCAGGTCAGTTTTATTTCATGTCAAGTCTTGTTTATTCCATACAAAAAACACTTGACAAGGCCACTTGACGAGTCCATATCCATCAAGGATTACTGGACTGGCCCATCCATCAATTATGGTCCAACCGACCTTACAGAGGCGGTTTAGAAATAAGAAACATAACGGGATTCGGCATCCCTCAAGGTACTTTCATGCCTATAAATAGGATTGATCACATCATAATACGAGTATGCTACCTCTTGCTCCAGTAACCTTACATACATTATTCCTTAACCCGATTTTTTGAGTTAAGCATCAGAGTGTCTACACTCAGGAGATCTCTGAGGCTCTGTTTTGTAGGAAACTCTAACCGGAGTTCCACTGTTAAGCCGGTAGTACAATTCCAGCCTTCATCAATATTTATAGAGTTTTAGAAAACTCTTGAGAATTAGACATAACCATTGATTAGTGCCTTTTATGGTATGATCATAGACATAATTGAGTCCATTTTTAACGTGAGTTTCAGAGTCTTAAAGCTTATCATCATATAATTATTCACTTCTCTTTCTAATGTGATTTGTTACAATGCATAAGGAAGAAAAATATTGGACCATACATGTTGTTGCCTGTATGGAAGTTTCGGAATAAGGCACTTAGTTACCTTTGTTTTCAAATAACAGTGCATAGTGTAGAGTATTCACCATCGGCAACAGTGACTGATTCGCATCACTCATGATAGACATCTCGTTGGGTGGGAAAGTTTGCCAAAAGATTTAAAATTGCTCCATGCCTATGATGAGTATTGATCCATCAACATATGATTAAAAGTGAAGAAGTTCTTATCACTCCACCACAATCCCTTTGATTGTATCCTAACTTTGTTAAGAATTTCTTCATCAACTCCACGTAGGCCGCTACCTGATTTCTTTGTCTTGTTTCTCAAAGAGTGGCCCAAATTGCAAAATGAAAGGTCTTCTTGCAAAATTCTTCATCTCAGGAAGCCCATCTTCATTTTCTGGCCTTTTGACTATACGGAAACTTTGGAAAAATCAGAATGTGACATCTACTTTTGTCCCAAGGGGACACCTTAAGTTATGAGGACTTCTTCTTTTTGTACTCCTTCCGAAAATTAATTCTATCAAAATCCATAATACTTGCATTTTCCTCTACTGAAGCAATAATGCCACAAACTAAATTACGATCACAAAATAGGACAAAATAATTACCGAAATCTCATATACAGTATGTATAAGATAGATGTAAGTAAGGAATCAACAACTTTGATTAATTTTGTTGAAAATCACTCAAAGGCTACTACTAAAATAGTTCTTAGTTACTCATTTTGGTATGCTAATACTAGTTTGATAGTGCACTATGGTTTTTGTCGGTCTCAATCATCAAATTGTGGCTATTACTTTAAATTAAGATGGCAAATTAATTAGCGGGTGTAGTATAGGCAAATAATAACAAGCACCTAGGTATACATTGCAAGATGTACCTCAGGAGCATGTGTAATACACACTCCTTCTACACAAGTTGATTTATTTTTTTCCTAATTTGCAATTATATGCGCATTAAATCCTCCAATTCTCATCCCATTTTTTTCTCACACATTTAATTTTAAACCGTTTTCTTTTTTACTTATCCTGTTATCTTTTATATTATTTTATTTTATGAGCCATTTTTTTATAGCTATGGATTTTATTTGCTAAAATTGAAAATGATTAATCATCCAAACTTATAAATCCAAAGAATCAATTGGAGCAAAAAAATTTGAAAAGATTATCAATGAAATCTGGAGAATTCAGCATCAAATATGGAAGATTTTAATAGATAACGATGTTTGTTCGGATGAATAATAGTATTCTCACCGATCAATAATGATAATATTGTGGATGAATAATGGTGTTTTTATAGTGACAAAGTTATGGATAAATAATTTAATATTTTGAAATGAATATAGATATCTACAAAGATGAATAATGAAACAAATGTTAATGAATAATGATCCCATCCAAGATGAATAACAATAATAAAATGAAGAATAGATATATATTTGCATGATGAATACACATATCTATAGAATGAATAACACATGTTTAAACGATAAATGAGATATCTTTACAAGATGAATAACACTATTTTACATTATTATTAATAACACGTGTTCATCCTTATGAGCATTTCTTTTTCATTGATCAAACAAAAAGAACATTACAATAAGTGAGATTTCACATTCAATCAAAACTCTGTAAACATCAATAAGAATGTTATTGAAGATGAATAATCGTTTTGAAAATAATGAATAAATATTAAAATTACATAAATCAAATCCAGTTGATAACATTGGTGTATGGTACTTATTACATGATGAATAACAACATAACCAATTGATAACAATCCAGTTTCTTAAATAATAAAAACCACACATTTAAACTCCTCTCTCTTTGGTCTTCTCTCTCGGTGCACGTTAAACTAACGTGCGCCAGGCATGGCAAGGGGACGACCCAAGGGGAGGAATGCTCAGAAATCAGAGGAAAATCAACAATTGAAGGTAGATGAAGGGTCGTGAACAGAAATTCAGCGATGACATCACAAAAGGATACAGATCTGGGTGAAATAAGGACATAGAGGATTAGACAAAAAGGGGTGTATTCGACGATTGAAACTGGAGAGGGAGCTAGATCTGTGAAGCACTTCGAATCTTGTGAACAAGATACAACATTCAAAGATCGATTGGGAATAAATCCCTCAAGAAAGCTTGAGTGGCCAGAGAAGAAACCGAAGGAAGCGACAACTACAAACACTGCCTGGGCTAATTTTGATGCCAGCAAAATGAAGAAGGTGAGAGTTCCTTTGATCTATGTTCCCCTAGAAGAGGTGGAAGGGAAAAAAGTAGCGATGGTACAGAAAGCTGCGGTGGAGTCGGAGGCAGAGTATTGGCGTTCTTCTGTTATCAGCTTTGTTCTGGGGGCAAATCCCCCGTTCAAAGTCTGGAAGCATGTAAACGTCAAAACGGTACTTCTCCTACGACCTAGGCTATTTTTGATTCGATTTACACCTGTTGAAGGTAGAGATGAAGCTCTGAGAGTACCTATTTATCACATGGGGGTAAATCCTGTTGTTGTTAAGCCATGGGTAGTAGAGAAGGGGTTTAATTATATGGCTATCAAGCATGTCCGGTCTTGCTACGATTTCATGGGTTGGATCTTTAATTTGGAATCATGATACTCTAAGTCGAACAGCAACTACGTTGGGCACTTTTTCATGGCAGATGAGCCTACTTCTCATAAAGATAGGGCAGCTTATGCTCAAGTATTGGTTGATGTTGAGATACAGGATCATCCCCCCTTAATTGCTCATTTTGTGTACGAACTTGGTATGGTTAGGGAACAGCCAGTGTATTACGAGTGTCGTCCTACCCAATGCAACTATTATAAAAACTTTGGACATAGAGGGGAGGATTATAAGAAAAAGATCAGCTCTGAGGAGGCCAAAACTATTGAGAAGATGAATCAACATAAACAGAAGCCAGTATTGTCTGAGTGGAGAATAGTGCAAAGAGGAAAAGGCATAAATGTTGATGAGAAACTTGAGACTCCACCACCAAGTAACAAGTCTGTGATTACTCCGAAGGAGACCATAGAGAAATCAAGGTAGGTTGATCAGAAGAAGCCAGTGAAAGAAACTGATACCAGTACCCATAACAGCTTCAATGTGTTGACTTGGTTGGAAATGGAAGTGAAACAACATCATGGAAAGGAGATACTTGTAGAGAGTATGGAAGTGGAGCAAACAGTTCGAGAGGGCATTGTTGGGAATCTCGGCAGCTTAATCCTATTTTGAATGAATAGTATTTTACATTGGAATATAAGGGGGATGAACAGCTAACTAGGGAAAATAGTGTTATGTTTGGTTGAATCTATTCTAAGTTTAATATCAATTTGTTGTGCTTGGTTGAAACTAAGCTAACTAGGGAAAGGGTAGAGGAGATTAGGAAAAAATACTGGCAAGGGTTAGAAGTGTTTGTCAATATATTGGGATAGTTGAGGGGTAGAATTTGCTTAGTATGGGGTCCTAGAGTAATCAAAGTGACTATATTGAGTTGAAGCAACCAGTATGTTCACTGCCCGGTGGAACCGTATAATGGTGGGGATAGTTTTTCATTACTGCAGTGTGTGGGTCTAATAGCATCCAGGAAAGGGAGTTGTTATGGGAGTAGCTAATCGGACTGGCACATACCATTGTCAATCCTTGGATAACTGTGGGAGACTATAATAATGTGCTGCGAGTGGATGATAGAATAGGGGGAAATGGTGTTACTGTTGCTGAAATCCAAGGCTTCCAACGTTGTGAGATCGAGTGTGCCTTTCAAGACCTGAAGTAGCAAGGACAGAGATTTACTTGGAATAATAAACAAGTAGGTCTGATCGAATCTGGTCTAGAATTGACAGAGTATTAGTGAATGGTGAATGGGTGTTGAACTTCCCAAATTCAATTGCGACAGTGTTGGCAAAGGGTACTTTTTGATCACTCTCCCATCCCTGTCCAGTTGGAAGGAGACATAAGGAAGCAACCAAAGCCTTTTAAATTTTTTAACATGTGGTGCCAAGCTGATAACTTTTGTGATGTAGTTAAGCAATGTTGGACACAGCCTGTGGTTGGCAACTGTATGTTCCAGTTGGCCCAGAAGCTGAAGAGACTGGAGTTTCTTCTAAAAAGGCTGAACAAGGAGCGATTCTCAGAGATTCAAGTCCAAGCCAAGGAATGGGAAATGCAGTTAGAAAATATCAGAGAATGGCTCATGATTTCCCAAGGGATGTTGTATTACAACTGAAAGAACGAGAATCATACCAGAAATGCATTGAGGTTAGCAAGGCAGTGAAAAGCTTTCTTCACCAAAAGGCAAAGGAGCAATGGATTAAAATGGGAGATACTAACAACACCTTCTTTCATGCGAAGATGAAGATAAGTCGAATGCAAAATAGAATATGTTTCATAGTCACGGAAGATGGGAAGCTAGGACGCCACTGGAATACTGTGCAAGCTCACTTTATTGACTTCTTTCAGCGACAACTAGGGCAGCAGAGTAGCAGGCAGAAGTCTAAAATGTTTATCTTCGGTTATGGCCCTAAGTTGGACTAGAAGAAACAACTAAAGCTGCTAAGGCAAGTTGATGCACATGGGATCAAGAAGGTGTTGGTGGAGTATTCACAGTGGGAAAAGCCCTGGTCCAGACGGGTACGGGAGCGAGTTTTTCAAAGAAGCCTGGAATGTTGTTGGGGAGGATCTTACAAAAGCAAAATTGGAATTTCTTGAGAATGGGAGGTTGCTATGATATTGGCCTTAATCCCAAAAACAGATGCCGCGCAAAATGCTGGTGAGTTCCGACCTACCGCCTACTGCAACGTGGTTTACAAGATCATCTCCAAAGTACTATGTGCCAGATTGAAGGAAGTACTACCACATCTGATTAACTCCAATCAGAGTGCATTTGTAAGTAACCGTCTTATCTTACATAATGTACTTCTTACCCAAGAGTTACTTAAATTATATGGCAGGAAAAATGTAAGTGGTCGGTGCATGTTGAAAATTGATATTAAAAAAGCATATGACTCGTTGGAATGGGATTTCATTGAGGAAGTACTTGTAAGCTTTAATTTTCCTGCAACTTTTATCCAGTTAATTATAGAATATGTGAGATCTCCAACATATTCGTTAGGGCTGAATGGGGAGAATTGTGGATGTTTTAAAGGGAAGCGGGGACTTAGGCAGGGTGACCATATATCGCCACTTTTGTTTGTTATGGCCATGGAGTACCTGACTAGGTTATTGAAACATATTGCTAATGACCCTAGATTTCGGTTTCAACCCCAATATAAAGCATTAAAACTCACAAACATCTGCTTCGCAAATGATTTGATGATATTTTGTAAAGCCGATAGATATTCTGTGCAGAAAATTATGCAGGCTTTGCAGGAATTTTCGACCACTTCTGGTCTTTATGCTAATTCCAGCAAGTCAGCAATCTATATGGGTGGTGTGTCAGACGAGTTCAAACAAGGCTTGTACAAGCTCCTAGGTTTCAGTGAAGGAAGATTTCCTATGAAATACCTTGGGGTTCCACTTTCTCCAAGAAAGTGGAATCAAATTGAATGTAAAGTTTTGATCCAGAAAATGGTGACTAAGATTAGATGTTGGAGCTCTAGACACTTGAGCTACGCAGGAAGAATCCAATTGATTAATATAGTCCTGATGGCGCTGAACAACTAATAGGCTCAGGTATTCATCTTTCCTAAGAGCATCACTAAATAGGTTAATCAAGTGTGCAGGGATTTCGTTTGGGGGATTAAAATAAATGGAAGGAGCCTTCCTTTAGTCAGCTGGGACCTTGTTTACACAACAAAGAAGGCAGGAGGCCTCAATATAAGAGATGCGCAAGTTTGGAACGAAGCAGCTTTGATAAAGCAAATCTTGAATCTGGCATGTAAAGCAGACAACCTGTGGGTTAGGTGGATACATGGCATTTACTTGAAAGAGGAGGACATATGGAACACCCAACCTACGCAGGACTCGAGCTGGCATTGGAAAAGATTGCTTAAATTGAAGGAAAAGATAAAAGGGGAAGTGGTTGATAACAAATGAATGCATAATGCTGATGGCAGGTATACTATTAATTCTGGGTATAATTGGTTAATTGCCAAGCAACAACAATGCCTTGCATCTGATTTCATTTGCGTGAGGTATAATGTACCGAAGCACTCATCTATTGTTTGGCTTTGTTGGAAGAACCGACTATTGACTAAAGATAGAATTAGTAAGTTCCTGTTGGTGTAGATTGACCCTTTATGTGTGTTGTACGGACAACAACAGGAAGATGCTAAACATCTATTTTTCAGTTGTAGTTTTTCAAGGGATGGGTTAGATGCAGTAAGTTGTTGGTTGCAGGTCAGAATACCAGCTAATCAGGCTGGTTGGAGGAGGAGAATACTCTGGATTTGGAAGGCTTCTAAGCTAAAAAGGAAAATATTGTTTGCTGCGTTTGCTGCTCTTATTTATCACCTATGGGAAGAAAGGAGCGCCAAATGCTTCACTGATAAATGATAATGGTTAAATTGTTACATAAAAGCATCACACTTAACTTTGTATTTGATGAACAATTGGGGGTATTTCCTAACATTGATGCAAATTACTTAGCTCATTTTCATGTTATTGTTAGGAAAGGACCGGACTGAATAATTGCTGAAAATTGGAAGCCAAAGGAGCAATTTAAGGGCTGCTGAGGCAAGGTTGCTGAGCTGGATGAAGAAGAAGGCCCTTAGACAAGAAGCATCTTGTCATTAATGACCTTGCCTCCTCCTAGAGGCATGCTTGTCCCCCAGCCGCAATCTCAGCCACCACTGCTGATCAATGAGAGCACAACGGCCACTGCTGGAAGAGAGAAAAGGAACGGCCAAGTTGGATTGCAGGCTCAAGACATTGGAAGGATTAAACAACTCCAAGCATGAGGAGGTTCTCATGATGAAGACACCGGTTGCAATGCACTATAAAGGAGGGAACGGCACTCTCACAAAAAAAAATCCATCTCCCAATCTCTGGGTAGAAGGAAAGAAAGAAGAAGAAGCAACAACAACTCAAGGAGGAAGCTGAGTTGAAGAATAGCAACCCAGTTTCTTATTCAGTTCCACGAGTGAACCCTTTCACTCCCAGGAGTGACTCAGAAACTGCACAAGCTTTCTCCTCATCTCTTGACTGTTAGCTTGAATTTTATTTACTATGCATACTTCTATGATGTCTTTCGATGTAGTAGACGTAGCATTAATCTGTATGAGTAGCTAAGCAGTTCCAAGGGTTATTCTCCTCAAAAGTTTATGGTTGAAAGTTTTTCTTCATTCATTTACTTCATCACTAAATTGAATGCATGCCAGAACTAAGGGAGATCTGGAAGGATAAACTTGGTTTGGATTGTTTCAACCTTAACTTATGACATAGAGGTAACAGTCTATGGTTTTAACTAAGATAGGAATATACTTAGTTAACATAAGTATTCTTGAAGGCCTAAGAACTTAATGACTTTGTAGCTGAATCAATCATTGGAAAATAGGTTGTTAAGGTTGCATAGATGACTCTAGGAAAAATGGGAACTGACTTAGAGTTATAAGTGAGCTGAATGAACAAGAACTCAACCATTACAGTGCTAATAGAACAACTACAACAGTAGGAGAGGAGAAGAACACCCCTGGCCTCCATTCCCCTGAGTAACTGTTTTCATTCCCCATAGTGACCGTTTTCATTCTCCTGAGTGACACCTTGTTGACTGATAGTTTTTCTTTAAAATAAATTTGGTAATTAGCTGTCCTCGTGGGATCGACCTAGCTTCCATTATCTACAAAACTCATAATCCAAGCTAGTAATATTTATTATTTTTTTTGGTGAACTCGGCAAGCACCAGAAAGTGGCGCCGTTGCCGGGGACGGCGTAAAACCTCCAAAATTTGTTGTTTTCATTTGTGTATATATATATATATATATATATATATATATATAAAATTCTTCTCTGGTTACCTCACTAAGCTTCCAGTTTCTTTTCCTTGGTGTATGACTAGAAGGCACCAACGAAGTGAACCTGTTTTTGACCCAGAAATTGAAGCTACCATCCGTAGAACCAGAGCAGCAAGAAGAAGGCAGAACCGGTTGCAACCGGACAACCAAGAAGGTTCATCTGAAATGGCTAACCAAGGTGGCAATCCGAAGAACAATAGGAACCCTAGTGGGGATCAACAAAATCGACCAGAAAGACTGCTTAGAGATTTCTTCATTCCACAGCAAGAAGAAGTCCAATCTCCTCTAGTGTTCCCTGATGTAGAAGCAACCAATTTTGAGCTCAAGCCACAGATGATCCAATGGACTCAATCAGCCTGCCCATTCCATGGATTACCTCATGAAGATCCTAATGATCACATCCGAAGTTTCCTGCATTTATGCAGTACTTTTAAAATTCAAGGCTTATCTAATGATGACATTAGACTGAGACTATTCCCTTTTACATTGCAGGATCACGCCCAAGCATGGTTCAACACATTACCCAACAACTCCATTTCCACTTGGGAAGAGTTAAGGCAGTGTTTCCTAACAAAATTCTTTCCACCTACAAAAGCTGCACAACTCAGAAAAGCAATAATGAACTTCAAGCAGCATGGAACAGAAACGCTTTATGAAGCAGGGGAAAGATTGAAAGAAATGGTCAGAAAATGCCCTCAGCATGGTTTGGAAGAGCATCTTCAACTGATCATCTTCTACAATGGTCTGCTACCAACTACAAGAGACTCCTTGATCTGCACTGGTGGTGTATTTATGATGAAGCCAGTTGATGCAGCAAGGCAGTTGCTCGACAATATGACCACCAACCATTCAAGATGGCAATCTGATCCAAGGGCAAATTCAAAACAGCCAGGGATGATGGAACTTGATCCCAGTACACATCTGCAAGCTCAAATGGCTGTTATGATGAACGAGATGACTAAACTCAGAAGTGAGATGTCCAAATCCAAGGCAGAAATATGTGTACTATGTGATGGATCCCACAGTTTGGATGACTGCCCTTCCAAAATGGAAGCTGTCCAGTGTGTCAGACAGGGCAATGCTGGGGGATTCAACAATTGGAGAAATCAGCAACAGACCAACTGGAACAATGCTCCACAACAAGGAAACTATCAAAGGCCTGCTCAACCCCCATGATTCCACAGACAAGATGGTCAGCTTCCCAACTATCAGAATCAGCAACGTTCTAACCAACAATACATACCAAGGGAAGATGAATGGATTTCTGTACAAAATGCAATCAAGAGTTTGGCGGTGTCTTGCAAAAGTTTGGAAAATCAGTTGGCTCAGATTGCAAAACAAAATGCTGAAAGCCATCTGGAAGCCTGCCCAGTGATACAATTGTGAACCCCAAGGGGAATGACCAAGAGCAAGCGAAGGCTGTCACTCTCCGAAGTGGAAAGCAACTCAATCAGCCAAGTGAAGAAGTCACTCCTGCGAGTGACCCTGCAGGTAAGAATGAAACTTCTTCTGAGCAAATATCTGATGATGATGACGTGGTTGAACAGGAGCAACCCGCTGAAAAGCCTGGGATGGAGGGAATTCAATTCCCAGCACCAATTAAGGAACCACAACAGCCAGCTCCGACGGCACCATATCCAGTGAGACAGAAGAAAGCAAAAATGGATGAAGGACTCAACAGGTTTATTCAGAATTTAGAAAGTATACATATTAATGTACCGCTTGTTGATGCACTTAAACAGATGCCTAAATACTTTAAGTACTTGAAGGATTTGGTGGCAAATAAGCCACAAATCCATAACTCTGCTTTTGTCACTCTAAATGAAGAATGTAGTGCAGCTATCCTAAGGAAATTACCACCTAAGCTGAAAGATCCAGGTAGTTTCACTCTTCCTTGTACTGTTGGAATTAGAGAATTGTGATGAATGACATATATTTGTATGATGAATACACATATCTACAGAATGAATAACACATGTTCAAACGATGAATGACATATATTGACAGGATAAATAATACTATTTTATAGGATTACTGACACATATTTACAATTTTGTACAATCACAAATTACATGATGAACAACATCAGTTGTAGCTTGTATCACAATTAAAATGAATAACTAAGCGAAAATAATGAATAACTACAAATAGATGATGAATAAACATTAACAGAAGAAGAAAACATAACTAAAACAACCCAAAATTGATTATAAATAATGATATCGAGATGATGAATAACCGCTAGAAATAGATAATGATGTCAAAATGTGATTTCCAAAATCAATCACAAATCGATGAACAAGACTAAAACATCGATGAACTAACATATTTTAAAGATGAATAATGATATTAAACCGATGAACAAAGCCTAGATCTATTAATCTTTTCCAAAATCAACCACAGATCGATGAACAAAACAAAGAAATTGATGAACTAACATCATTAATCAATGATAAATAATGAATAAACATTTCACAGAAGAAGAAAACATGACAAAACAACCACACATTGATGATGAATAATGATACCGAGATGATGAATAATGCCAGATCTATGAATATTTTCTGAAATCAATCACAAACTAACATGTTTTAAAGATGAATAATGATATTAAACTGATGAAGAGCACCTAGATCTATTAATCTTTTCCAAAATCAATCAGATATCGATCAACAAAATTGATCGATGGGAATAATCTCAAATCTTTCCCACTAGATAAAACACAAAACAGATCTATTAAACTGATGAACAGAACCTATATCTATTAATCTTTTCCAAAATTCACCGGAAACACAAACAGATGAATAATCTCAAATCTTACCATAATTCTCATATTCAGCAGCGTATATTGCAACCAAACTCACGGGATTTGATGCATAATCGGATTTCGTCTCCAAAAATACCGCCGACGAAAGGTTTTGATACCAGATCGCTGCAGAGAATATTTTACTTTTTAGATTTTTTTAGTTTGAGACGTCTTTGGATTGGAATCGAAAGGTTGATGGATATGATTAATGATGGCTGAAAATTAGGAGAGATATTAGGAAATTGAAAATTTGAAAAATCTTTTTTTTTTACCCTCTTTTTGGGCGCGTGAATTTCAAACTAGGTATACCTTGCAAGGTGTACCTAGGAGCTCTATATTATAACTGGTGTAGTATATGCTTTAATGACTGTGTGTGTGTGCGCACTTGGTTTGTGTTTAATTAACAATCATTATTTCTTAAGCCAACTTTAATTAAAAACGTAATTGAAGAATTTATCAGTGTAGAAGAACTGTCAAAATCATAACATCTATTTGTGGTCTGGTTGAATTTTGTTCCTTTTGTATTAGATGATATTAGTAGTTAATAAATAAAATTTTCCTTGGTTGCTTAGAAACTTTAGAATTCTAGTTTTGCATATATATGAACAATCATGAGATTAGATGAATTTTAACTATTTTCAGACCTGACTGGTGTATCTAGATCGCCACCGTATAGTTTAAATTAATTAACTTGTAGAACATAAGATGCTATATTGTTTTGTACTCCCTGTGTCCAAAAATAAAAAGAAAAGTAAAAGATTTAATTTTAAGATTTGAATTTATTTTTAGTACAAATTTGAAAACTCAATTTGGATATTTTTTAAGGTGGAGGGAGAACTATCAAACATTCATGTGTGTCATATAACAACATATATAACCGATATGATTTTTTTTTTAACATTATATAACCTCGACAGCACTCGGGAAGAGGCAAATATGATAATATATACAATTGATAAAGTGATTCTTGAGTGTTTCATTATTATTATGTAGAGTGGAGAAAGTCGCTGGTTTATATGAAACTATTTTTACTCATGACTTATGGGAGCAAAATTTCTATACTCATCAACCCATTACCCATAGTAAAGTTTTGGTATATTTCTTAAGTTTTAGTGGTTTTTCATGTGCGACGTAAGATTTCTCTCTAATTTGGGGCTCTCAGTGCGAAGGAAGTTATTAGTACATCTTTAATATACCAAACCCTACTTGCGGCGGCTTCACGTATTCCTCCTGGCCCCGATGTCCAGAGATCACTTCCTGGCAATTCCTCCTAGGCTGCCAAAATCTTTTGCTAGCTTTTTCCAGAAGGCTACAAACATCCAGAATGATTCAAGCTCTCTCATTAAGCAAGTTAAATTCATCAACGGCACTCCCACATTAGAATACGAACACGATGAGTTTGAAAAGTTAGTAGCACCGCACCTTTTGAGTCTTGTTGGGAAATTTTCATATGGAAGACACAAAATGGAGGAGGTTCACAAAGAGTTCAAGAAGATCGGGTTTAATGGTAACTATACCTTGGGTCTCATGAACCCTAGGCACATATTGATTCGATTTGAACAAGAAGAGGATTATCAGAGATGTTGGATCCGAACTTTTTGGAATATCGCAGGCTACATGATGCGAATGTTGAAATGGAAGCCGGGATTTTGTTTTGAGGAGGATCCGTCGTAGATACCTGTTGGGTCTCCCTGTACGATCTTCCTATTGAATACATGTATCCGGAGGTCATTTTTTCTGTGGCAATGGCAATTGGTCAACCCCTAAAGGTTGATACTCCCACACTAAACATGACAAGGCCGTCGGTGGCGCGATTTTGTGCGGAAGTGGATCTTATGAAGGAGTTACCGAAATCAGTTAGAATTGGGAGGAAAGGACGCAAACATGAACAAGAATTCACTTATGAGCATGTTCCCTTTTACTGCTGAAAATGCTGTAATATTGGCCACAAAGACATTGATTGCCATGTTGGTAAATTTGCGTCAAAAAAAGATGTTGAGAAGACCATTTTGGATCCGGTAACCAAGAAGAGGGGAATCAAGCTCAATACTAGAAAGTTAGTTGGGGATCCAAGCAATCTGAAAAGAAGTCTGATCTACAAGTAGAGATTGTTAGTATGCAGCCCCTTATAATTAATGGAGTAGAATCGCAGCCTGTTGTAAAAGATTGCATTGTACCCCTTGCGGAAACCCTAATTGAACTCCCTACGGAAACCCTACCAGCACGCACGGTGGAAGCTTTGGATGGGGGCTCAACTTCAGGGTTAACGATGCAAGAGAAAAAGGATCATGTTGTTGATATTCCAGATAATCCTCCTTTGATACAAGTTATAGAAACATTGAATGAAATTTCTCAACGAGAAACTCGATCGGCAGCCGTCTCATAGTCGAATGCATTCGAGATTCTCCAAAACATTGATGAATCTGGCAATGTTGAGGAACTTGTCCACGGTAAAGCTCAGTCTTTGGAAGTCAAAGGCAAAGAAATTGAGAAAGCAAATACTGATGGAAATGGGGAAAGGCAATTGGCTTTTTCTGGCAATGGTGATGGGCTTACTTCGGGTAATGAGAATCAGTTGAACACTCTATACTACCCTAATGATTCTTATGTGTTTGAGCAGAAGGATACTGATGATAAGGAGTACACCAATCAGGATGGTAGTTGGTCAGAGGGAGATAAAGAAGCTGCTTCTTTGGTTGAAAACGCGCAAGGGAAATTTTCGGCTAAAAGTAAAAGAGGCCGCAAATCTAAGGCATAACGTGCTAAGTTACCGGAAGGAAAGGAGATTCGGCGATCTCTTCGCCTTCAATAAAATCAATTTTTTACAATGATAAGTGTCATCTTTTGGAATATAGGGGGTATTAGAAAACAAGCTTCTCAACGTGGGTTGAGAAATCTCATTCGAATGTATAGGGTATCCTTGAGCCAATGCTTGCTATGCATAGCTTTGATGAAATAAGGAGGGAGTTGAATTTTGATTTCGCTTATGCCTCTAGTACAAGTAAGATTTGGGTGTTACATAGTAAGTTGTATACAATAAATAAGTTAGAAGTTGGAGATCAATTGATGCACTTTGAGGTTACATATGTTCCATTACAAAAGGAGTTCGTTCTCATGGCGGTGTATGCTAGGTCGAACAAAGCGGATAGAAGGCTCTTGTGGGCAAATCTGGGGCTTTTCCAGGACTTGAATCCATTAAACCTTGGATTGTTGGCAAGGATTTTAATGTTATACGCTCATTGGAAGAATACTCTGGGAATTCCGTACAAGATTACGAAGCCATGGATGAATTCAATTGTTGTATTGAGGAGATTAATCTTCACGAAATTCCTTCAGTTGGGGATGAGTTCACTTGGGGTGGTACAAGGAGTACGGGATGGGTTAGGGAAAAGTTGGACATAATTCTTTTCTCTCCGGAATGGATGGATATGTTTGCAAAAACTTCATTAGAACCTTTGAGCCGTACAACGTTGGATCATAGTCCATTGCTTCTCCAATTTTATGTTCAACTTGAAACTAGGTCGAGAGTGTTTAGGTTTCAAAAAATGTGGCTTCGCCGGAATGATTTCATGGATTTGGTGAGAACGAGTTGGGAGCAGCCGGTTTTTGGTCTTGGCATGACAGCATTCTCTAGCAAACTTCGGCGCTTAAAAATTCTTTTAAGAGAATGGAATAAAACGTAGTTTGGAGATGTTTTTCAGAATGTGTGTTTGGCTGGAGAGAAGCTGCCGGAGTTGGAGATTATCTATGATCACTCAAAAAATGTCAATGATAGGCAGAATTTGAGTGTTGTGCAAGCTGTCTTGCTTCAAACGCTCAAAGAACAGGAGGATCTTTGGAAGCAAAAAATGCGCCTAAAATGGTTGAAGGAGGGAGATGACAACACTGCTTATTTTCATGCATCCCTAGCGGAGAGGAAAATGAGATTGGGAATTCAAAAAATTCAAACAGAAGATGGTAGGGTTCTCACAGGACTGTGGATATTGGGAATGAAGTGGTGAACTTTTTTCAACATCTCTTAACTGAGGAGCAATCTCATATACAACAAAATAATAAACAACTTGAGTTTCTACGGAATCTTAAAGATGAGCTAAGTATGGAGGATAAGGAATGGCTGATCCGAACAGTGACTATTAAAGATGGTCAAAAATGCGGCTTTTGATCTTGGTGAAGATAGTGCTGCGGGGGTTGATGGTTTTGGAGGAAGTTTCTATAGAGCATGTTGGGAGATTATTGCCAATGATCTACTTGTGGCTTGTCCAGAATTTATGGGAGGTGTCCCAATCCCTCGAGCTGTTGCGAGTACGATGATTACATTAATTCCCAAAGAAGCTTCAGTTAGTACTTTCTCAGCTTATGTAATTTCCTCAACAAGGTTTTTAGAAAAATACTAACTGAAAGATTGAAGATGGTCTTGCCCAAACTCATCTCTGAAGAACAGTCTTCCTTTTGCTAGGAAGAGACATTATTGATAATGTACTATTGGCTCAAGATCTTTGTTAGTTCATCAATCACAAGGCAGTTGGAAATAATGTTGTTATGAAGATTGATATGATGAAGGCATTTGATAGAGTCTCATGGAGTTTTCTGGAGAAGGTACTTCAAGAGTTTGGATTTCCATATCAGTTTGTCGTTCTAATTATATATAATTTCCGTAATAGTTGGTTTTCGGTGATGATAAATGGCTTACCAACTGGATTTTTTCAGCCCTCCCGTGGAATAAAACAAGGTGACCCTCTTTCACCTTATTTGTTTGTATTGGTGGCTGAGGTAATGTCACGTCGGTTAAAGGAACTTGTTGGAAAAAGGAAGATTGTGACTTAGGGTACTCCTACGGGATCATTCCAAATTTCACACCTTAGTTTCGCTGATGACTTAGTTTTCTTTACCAGGGGAGAAACGAGGTCCTTAAAGGAATTAAATAGGTTTTTTGAGAACTATGAGATTGCTTCGGGTCAAAGAATCAATCGGACTAAAAGTTTTTTCTTGGTAGCAGAATCTTGTAGTGCATTTCGGTTGGAGGCCATCAAAAGAATTATGCTAATGCCTAAGGGAGCTTTCCCATTCATGTATTTGGGCTGTAATCTATACTATGGGAGAAGCAAGGCAGCACATTTTCAATTCCTTTAAGACGCTTTGGAATCCAAGATTGCTGGATGGAAGAATAAGCTATTGAGTTCAGGTGGAAGGCTCGTTCTTCTGCAACATGTAATTTCAACAATGCCTATACATGTATTGTCGGCAATCTCTCCCCCTAAATCGATTCTTACTGATATGGAAAAGAAGTGTCAGAGATTTCTATGGAAAGGGACTCGTGAAGAGAGGAAACGTCATTGGAGAGCATGGGATCATTTCACTTTTCCAGTCTCGGAAAATGGTTTAGGGTTGTGAAAGTTTCAGTATGTCATACAAGCTTTTTGATGCAAACTTTGGTGGAAATTAAAGTAGCAACATGGATTATGGAGCAAGTTCATTGTTTCTCTTCCAAATACATCAAGGAAAAAAACTTCTTGGAGTAGAGTTTTGAAGGTGGATATGGAGGCGTCAAAACATGCGAAAGTTGTGATTCGTGGGGGAGATCGTTCATTTTGGTTCGATAATTGGATGCAAGAGGGAGTCATATGGGAGGATACGTCTGCTCCTCCACCTTTCCCGCAGCTAAGTATTAATGAATTTTTGTCTCATAAAAGCTTGTATTTGCATGCTTTGCAGGGAACCCTGTCGCCAAGTGTGGCTCATTCTTTGCTTTGCCATGATGAAACCCTAACAGAAGAAAAAGATATACTTGTATGGCAGTGTTTTTCTTCTGGAATTTTTTCCATTAAAACAGCATATCATCAGCTATGGAGGAGGGGTTTTGATGATAACATATCCAAGAATTATTGGCACAAGTTGGTTCCTTCGAGGATCTCTTTTTTTGTATGGAAGTTACGCAACCTATTAGTTCCTTTTTGGGAAATCTTCAGCAGATTTGGAATACAAGTAAGGCCATCTATTTGTCCTTTTTGTAAAAATCATAAGGATTCCATATTGCATTGTTTTCTTGGGTGTCCAAAAGTTAGGAAAATTTGATTGCATTTTTCTAATTTGTTTGGAATAAGAAGAATGGATAATGCAATATTACTAGATGCTTTGCAGCAATGGTGGAAGTGGCTGTTTTAAAATATCGCGCAAGGCTATGATTAAAATGCTTCCATCACTTCTTTGGAAAGTTTGGAAAGTAAGAAATAGTGTTATAATTGAGGGTGTTGTGTATCACTTTGAAAAGGTGGTTGAGGCAATCACTGTGGCTATGCAGAATGTCCTCCTAACACATGATTTGAGGGCCAAGGGTGAGGAGGAAAAGGTTTTTATTGAAAATGTGTTTGGCATTCGGCTGACAAACTTGCAAGTGCGAAGTAGTATTGCTGTTTCTGGGAAGGCTCCTGAATCTTGTGAGTATGTTCTGTACTCGGATGGCTCATTGGTGAATATGGATTCGGGGTATGGTTTTCGTATAAGGAGGAATCGAGGAGATTTTGTCTTTGCTGAGAGCGGATACATGAGTGGTGGAGATGGTTTTGGGCGGAGGTATATGGATTGTTGGTGCAAGAAAATGTGACAATCTTGGGCTGAAAAATGTAGCATTACAAACAGACAATAAAACTCTGGCGGACCTTTTGATTGATATGAAGACGGTTCCTTGGAAATTCATTAATCAGATCTTGGAGATTCATCACATCATGCAAAGAAATTCCTACACTATTTCCGACACTTTTAGAGAAGCAAATGCAGTGGCTGATGGCTTAGCTAGAGAAGCATCCCTTGGGACTTCAAAGCGTTATAACTCAAATGCTATTTTGCCTAGATATATTAGGGGACTTGTTTTACTAGATCATGTTTCCTTTCCATATATACGTAGTCACTACAAATATAAGTCTTAAGCATTGCCAAATTCTCTGATGGGTAATTAATAAAATTCAGGGAGGGATGAAACTAGGGAATTATATAGTATAAATGTCCATCCCTTGGGTGGACCCCTTCGTTGTATTATACTATATGGCAGTGGCTAGTTCAAAAATTTACCTCATGGATTCATCCTTTGAGTTTTTTTTGAACTAGTTGGGACCTGAAAGTTATCCTAACCTTTCTGTTAATTGAAAAAAAGGTTGTAACTTATTTTCAGTTTAATTTTAAAACTTTTTCGTCTCCCCATTACTTTTTACAGTCCAGTATAATAAGCTAAAGTTACATTACGTTGGCTTTTCCATCGGATTCATGCTAATAAGATGCTCTAAGATACGCGCACCCTCCCTTGCCTTTTGTTTTGTTTTTGTAAATTTTGCACCTGAATATATGGCATCCTTCACTTCAGGTTTTCCAATGGGCTTGCAATGAATTTATAATCCACCTTTCGGGTTAAATATTGTGGTTAGAGTACGGTATTGCTGGAGTCTCTCGTCTACGAAATGATTTAATTAAATTTCATTAGTCTTTAGTTTTCTCTTTGGTAAAAAAGAACGAAAAAAGAAACCTCCCACTGTGTCCCATTGAGTTTCATTTCTCGTTCTGATTACGCCTCTATTAGTTGCGAAAGATTTCCGAAGCAATTAAGGGCTCATCAATTGCAATTGAACTCTCAAAGTAGCGAAAGTTTTTCTCAGATGCTCTGATATTATTCCAAATCACAAGATATAGGACCACAAGCTTTGTGTTTGTAATTATTATTATTATTATTGTTATTATTATTATTATTATTATTATTATTGTTATTATTGTTATTATTATGGCAGATGCATTTTCTTCTCTCTTTTAATAGTAGTATTGGAGTTCTTGAGGCAAGAGGTGTGCTGATGTTCTATTTATCTCCCATGGGCTATATGTATGTTAAGGAAAACCGGTGTTAGTCGTTCACTTATACTTCATTCTGCAAAAAATTTCGCACGCCTCCTTAATGTTTCTCCAAATAGAAACATTAAAACATGATTTGAGTATGTTCCTCCATTGAAACATACTCAGTTCTTATGAGCTAATGCAGATTACTGACGGGTTTGTCGAGACCCGTAAAAATTAATTTGCAGAAACAGTGGAATCAGGTCGAATCCTAAGAGAGCCGACTTTTAACACTTGGCTTTACAAAAATGCAAACAGGGGGAATTTTTCTTCTTTAAAATAAAATGACAATTTGAAGTAAATAAAAATGAAGAGAAAATTAATAATAGAAAAATTTTGGTTCAAGGAATGATTCAAATATATTACAGATCATCGACTAAAAATACATTTTTCTACAACTCAAGCATTCAACCGTAGGCTTAATAGGATAGCCGTAAAAAGCCTTATATTTTCTAAAAATATTTGACCAAGCCAAGCACCAAATCAAAACATAGTATAATTTAACTAGGCACGACAGCGTTCCATGTTAAATTATACTCGCAATAAAAACTTTAAAAATTTAGTTGAACCAAAAACTAAAATAATTGAGATAGCTGCAATTGAAATGTTTTTGTCCTATTGATCTCCTAGTTAGACTTATTATGCACATTCAACGTGTCACTACCAACATGTATAATCTGCTAATGTGCTACTTAGTGCCAAATGTTTAAGACGATAGCGCAACATAAACAATTTGGTAGCAGTATGAAGAAAATACTTGATTAAATTGTCAGATTAATCAAGTATCTACTCTCATAAAAAGAAATTAATATCAACAAGTACTTGAATTAAAAATAGAAAAAATAAAGTGGAACTTGTAGTCTCACATATAATATAAAATAATAAAAATTCTTGAAACAAATGAAGAAAACTAGCCACTCATTGTGACTAGAAACATCTTCGAAGGTTTAAAATAAAATAAAACAAAATAGAAATCTAAAATAAAAATGATGGCAAAAATAGAGAAAAGTGGTACCAGCCTAATGCTTGCTTGGGGTGTGGGATCTTTGAAGCCTACCACTACTACTCTATTTATAGTGGTCTTTTCCTAACCGAAAAATCCAAAAAAAAGGTACAACAACCTATCCCGAATCACTTTCAATATATTCAAATTGATTTAGTTGTTGCTGCAAATCTTTTACCAAATTAGTTCGGTCAAACGGGTGGAGAAAATCAAGAAATAGATTTCTTTGACTTGGTAAAGAAAATCTTCAAGTAAGAGCTTTGACTAATCTCCTTGTGGTAAAATCTTTTCATCTTTTAACTCCATAAAGCAGCCAGTAAATCTCAAAACAGTCCATTTTTCATTGTTTCACTACATTGGCACAAAATAATAATAAAGTCTATTAATAATCTTCAAAATATAACCAAATTAGTCATAAAAGATTATAATAAAATGAATTTTATTATAACTACCAATTATCGTTAGTAATATGCTTTCTAATTCAATAATCATTATCCTAATTATATACAAATTATACCCATTCTAACCCCATCAGTTATATTTACTTTTAACTACTTGCAGGTCCTAACTATTTTTCCAAATTTAAAAGGAAAACTTCAAAAAAAATAATTATTATTGTTTTGTTCGATTTTAGTAGCCTATTTTGTTATATTATTTTGACTCCTTTAATGTCAATATATATATTATCAATCAATGTAGACTTTGATTAAAAGATGAATAAACAATAAATTAGTCTGTTTCGTTATATTATTTGAATCCTTTAATGTAAATATATTGATTATCAATCAATGTAAACTTTGAAGAAAAGATGAATCAACAATAAATGTATGAATAATGCGATTGAAATTATTTTTTGACTTTCAAAACTTTATCAACGGAGTACAGATACGTAAAATAGTAATATCCTTAAAATCTAGCTCGGAGATTAGGACATGGTTTTGCTCTCTATTGAAGGTTAAATGGTACATGATGAATCATAACAAATTCCTCATGCTGGTACTCGTTTCAACTTCCTAATTAAGCTTTGCGGCTTGTGATCTTTTTTTTTTTTTTTGGAAAACCAACTTTATTATAGAAAGTAGATTACACTGCTAGGGAGGGATGAAGACGCGCCTTTGCTAATTTATGCGGGCCTTCTACTTAATAACTGTACATCCCTCACTCTGATCTAGTAATGCGGGCCTTTTCTAATCTATGTGGCTTGTGATCTCGCTAATTGGATGCCTATGTACGACCTGTATATCAACTTAAAGATCTACGTCAAAAAAAATCAAATTAGCACAATCATATATTCTTCAACAATTTTGAGTGGATGGCAAAAACGATTACCAAAGTAAAAAAAAAATAAATTAAAAAAGTAAATCTAGATAGAAATTAATAATGGAGATTCATAAATCAAATCTTCATGGTCTTGTAAGGTGTACAATCTGTGGCTCCAATCTTGCTAGATAGAGATTCAGACTCAATTAACTTCAAGTGATGAAAGATTTGTACTCCCACCGCCCCCAATTTAAATGGGACGAATTTGGTTAGCAACTTTCTGTAGGTTAAATTTACTTTTTGTTTTACTGCAAGATTTAGTTAGATAATTAATTTAAATTAAAATTTCAGATTTGTTTAGATTATAATTAGTTTGAAAATTTTTAGTATTATTTTTAGAGATAATTTAAGATTTGAAGAGTTATTTTCTCTTTTGGTAATTGTAAGAGTTATTTATGAATTTGACTTCTCACAAAATAAAAAGCAACCCCCTTCTGATAAAAATTTATGTTTCAAAAATATTTGCTCTTTTTCATCTCTTTCACAACAAAGTGGTATCCAGAGCTTAGGTTCAATTAGGGGGATCTGTGTGAGTGAATTAGTGAGAAACCTTCTGAATAA